TGTTGTTGTTGTTGTTGTTGCTCCATATGCTGCTCGGGTAGAGCTCCGGGTTTACATTCAGGTTTCCCACTCTTATCGGCCCTCGAGCTTCAGCGACTCGTGCTCAGGATAAGTCTGGAGCCACATACCACGCTTACCCAAGTCGTGGCTCAGGGTTCGGATTCGGGACTGTACGATGCGTGGCTTACGCTGTCAACCGGGTAAGAAACAAGATGCAAATCTACGGGTTGCATTTTATAGCACGCAGATTAAGATGCCGTGAGCTTGGAGATATGCATCACGAAGTCGTGTCTGAGATCTTTCCTCTAGCGTTACTGGAGTTCTGCCTCTGGACTTGCAATGCCCAAGCTTACCTAGCCGTTCTATTGACCAAACCCTGTACACTCCATATGATTTTAGTTGTTTGCGCTGACAGCCCGAGTTTTCGTGTTTCGGCCGAAGGCTAGGATGACTTCCTTAGCGACACTTCCGCAAGCGGCTAGGCCCTGTACTTACAGTCTTTTGAACTATTTCTGTCAAGAAATCAACATGCAATTGTGCTAAGGCACGGCATGTACAATATGAGCAGCACTCTTCGGTTCTTTGTCCCAAAACATCCAAAACTAGAAGTCTTGAATAGTCGCACTCCTGCAGCCTAAACCGTCAAAGCTTGAACCTCGTAGGTCTTGCCCTATGGTACTGCCGCGTCTACCATGGCGCGCTGCAAGACTTTCGGATGGCTTGCTTTCAGTACAAGCAGCCCGACCAAGGTTTCATGCATGCCGTGTCTTCTGCATTTCTTGATATTTCCTGCTGATTTTTTTGGCCTAGAATGCGACTTTGGCTCATTTCGGGGGATGGAGCTTGGCGTGCAGCATTGGGTCAACAGGCTTGGACTGGGGTTAAGGCCTTGAGCTGCCGACTGTTTGGATGAAAGGCTGGCATGTTGTGCAGGCTTCCCCAGTGAAAGATTTCCTGTAGGTCGTGGTCGTCATTATCGGTCGTTGAAGTTAAGGATTCTTGGATGGAAAGGGCTTCTAGAGGTGTCTTAACAGAAGTTCGCACACTTCTTGCAATTTAGAATACTTCCCGAAACCATTCGCCGAAACCGGAAACCCTCAGATTGCAGGGTATGATGCTGGATATGATGCGTATTGGCATATTGGCTTCATGAGTTGGGAAGCTTGTGCAGCCACAAATCCCCATCTCCGAGGTATCAGTTTGTGTTTCCTACTTGCCACTGCGGCCTATCATTCTTCGGCATGCGTCTGGCCAACTGATTGAGCTTCTCGCAATACCTCAGCCTTGAGAGACTGAGATAAACGGGATTTAGTGGGCCAAAGCCGCCCAGGCGAGACGGTAAGACTAGTAGCTTGACAGTTTCAACATCTCGACTCTCCGGCTTGCGTGAAACGATTGCTTCGAAGAAAAGCTAGGTGGATTTCGCGAGCAACGGCCAATCCAGAAATCTCGGTTCCCGACAATCGTTCTCCTGATCCTCCTGCAACGGTAGCAGGAATGCTCCACACCGTGCGTGCGAGGGGTGGGGTGGGCCATACGCCCGACGTGCATCTAGAAGCTTAAGCGCTAGACCCGGAAGCCTCCTGAAGCCTCCGGTTCTCACATCCCAGCTCCAAGCCCTGGTCCACGAAATGCTCTTCCGGGCTTTCCTCGTGGATTTTTGGGCTTGTCGCTCAGCCCCCCGCAGCCCGAAGCCACAAACCTGAGCTCCCAAACTCGAAGCGTCATGCCTACAGGGAGTGGTGCTTGTGGTGAAACATTTGGGTATTTGCGCAGGTCTGTCGGATTCGCCGTTTCCGAACGGACCCTGGCACCACAGAAGCCGCGAATTTACTTCCCTACTTCTCTGTCTCAGAGCCTGCCTGAAGCGTATATAGTTGAGTTTTCAGCTGACTGGTTGGAGGAATTTGCAGTTTGGAGTTTGGGATGTTGGGTTATGGACATCATTGTTTAAGATTCACGTTTTGGTTTGCAAGGCAACTTCAGGGACAAGTACGTAGAGTCCTTCTCGTGCTTGGCTTCAAGACTGAACAACTGCGAGCATAGGAGAACCGCCCAGTCTTAACAGTACTCAAAGTGGCTTCCGGAACGCCATGGCTGCATGGTGCCCCGGTTTTGCGTCGTTACATGATTACTACAAGCTCCAGCATGATTTGCTTACAATCTGCATGTGGCAGGCTCGCGCAATGGTGCCCTCAACTCCTTGGTGAAGCAGCCGATGCTGCAGCATCCTGAGCCGGTCACATGTAAGCTCTGATCCTGAATCCTAAACCAAATCCTTGAACAGGAGTTTCTAACATCCGAGGCTTTTCAAGCATGAGATTACCAGCAATCTGCACAATCGCTGCTTGTGTCTAATTCGCCGGACTTCTGGGTGGAAGCGCGTTCGAAGTCGGCACGTTAATCGACTGTTAAATTGATGCTTTGATCAGGTTGCCTGTGCAGAACAGTGAGGATTTAGATATATGTTTGGTGACCTGGCACATCTTGCAGCGCTGTTCCTTTCATTGCGGTCAGCATCCGTCCAGCACGCTATGTTCATGACTTCTGCTTCTGTGGAGGGTTTCAGAGATGTCGGACTCATCTTTCCTCCATGGAGGTAAATCTCTGAGGGTTTTCCCGCAAAAACCTGTAGGGATGTTCTACTGCCAAGAATGGCCTGGCTGGGCATCATCATCCTGCTCCTGCGTCCTTCTCCTCCTCCTTCTCGTTCTCGTCCTCCTCCTCCTCATTATCATCACACACTTGCTTATGTACAGTTGTTATATGTGAGTGTGTAAATATACATATATATATACACACACTCACACTGTATTGGTTCATTTGCGTGTTTATTTGTTGAGGCGCACTGAAGCGTAATCCAAAGAAACGTGAAATGCGAAATGCAGAACGCGATTCCTGATGATCACCTTCCTGCGACCAATCATGCTCTCCGTGGTGATCCTGTTTCTCTCTCAGCTTAGTCTGTAGCTGAGTAGGTAACCTTCGCCATTTTTGTGTTTCGCAATCTTATCAAGAAAAAAGACACAACTTTGCAACTTAAACGCGGCTTCATCAATGCTTACATGCAAGTACGGCGCCCACAACGTGAAGTGCTAACGTCTATGTGGCCACAGCTCGAGCATCTTGGTTCTGTTGGTTATCACGCGCATGACGCTCAGCCCGGGCGGTTCCCTTGGGGGAAGCCAGGAGCTTCCAATCTCTAAACAGTAGAACTGTTCATCACGAAAGTTGGTTGCCCCGTCTGTCCTCCTCTATGTTGATTCACATCGGTGCTACGGCTGAAAGTACACTAATCCGACTGAGGGACATGGGTTTAGCATTTTTAAGTGCCGACACCAAGGCGCGACGTCCTGAGCCAGGTGCTGCTCGGCCGGACCCCACCAGATCTCGTGGAGATTGCTGCGCTAGACAACACCGTGCAGCCTTGGGAACTATGCAAGGTCCTAGTCGCACAAAATCCCCAGCTGCATCACCAGCAGGCGACGAGCCCTCCAAGCCAGCAGGGACAGCAGTCCACAGCCGCGTGTCGGGCGGATGGGAACGATCGTCTCGAAAGCAGAGGTCCGAAGCCGTGAAGCATCTCAAGCACAGGGAAGCGATTCTGAGGATGTCAGTCCTAATGCATAGTGTCATAGCGTAACATTGTCGTACCGTGTTGCGCTCTGTGTCGCAATCATTCTGCAGCATTATGTACACGGCACTTGACATAATTGAGCTGATTCTCGTTGAGCTGGGCCATTGCCCTGTCATGCGAATGGCCAGCTACCACAAAGCGGACGAGGATTCCGAGAGAGACGTTGCACCCAGAGATGCAGAACGTGGGTACTTTGAAGTTGCGGAAACAGAGAAGTTCAGCATCGCCCTCGACAGCACGACACAAGGGGCGGCTATGCTTGCCGTTGCACAGTGGAGCGATGCAGAGTATGCGTCAAAGTACGGCCAGAAGCAGGCGGCAACAGTTTGAAGTCGATGACTGCTTCCGACGGTTCAGGGCTAAGATATGTCGGACGGAGTTTGCGGGGGTTGCTGGTGCAATGCGCGCTTTCAGGTAGAGGATGCCGAGGAAGGGACTCAAGTCGTGGCATCATCAGATCTGAGCCAGAACTAGCAAGAAGAATCCGTGCAGGCGATTGGCCGCCTGATCAACGGCCTCGGGCTCTTCGCAATCTCCGTGGTGCTGCAGGCGCTGTTAATTGCTCTGCTGCTGTTCTTCTCCACGCAGCGAATGCAAGATCCATATCAGAAACCAGGCTGCACTTCGACATGTTGGGCTTTTGCTTTGATGGCTGGGGGTTCCAAACTCGAGGTGGTGCTGGTGAACGTACAGCCCCGGCACCAGCGCTAGACTCTCCATGTCTCCCGGAAATTCCAAACCAACACTTCCCTACTGGACGGAACCCCCAGTATTTTGGTTTGGACGTCTGTAAACATGACAAAACTGTTGTCCAGAAGGATACTTCTCGGGATTTACCAAATCTGTGTTCCAACCCCTCAACCCAACAAAGTCGGATTCACATTCTAGGGCTATGGGGTTTCAGGACAATCTTGCAGGTTAGGGTAAAATGGGAAAAATATTGGCCTGCTTCAACAAGGGGTTGAGTGTGTCAGGATCGAGAGGTTGAAACCTCATGATGAGTGAGGAGCCGAACGAACAGCCCCTAGATTCCTAGATTTTTTGCGACAGCTTTATTTCCACGATGATGATCGCTTACTTGACACCCAGGATCAAGGCGCACGACCATGCTGATTGACGTAGATGCTTCTCTCTGATCGAAGCCAAGTCCCGGCTAAGCACGAATCAAACCAATCTTTGTTCAGACAAGTTATGCACAGCCCTGTGCCGCCTGAAGGTTCGAAGAAACTACTGAGATGGCTGAATCTCTTCGAAAGGCGCAGGAGTCGAACACCACGCTGCCGGAGTCCTGGCAGCTTGGGGTTTTCAGGCAGGGTTTATAGGGAAGTTTAGAAATGTAGTAAGGAGGTCTTGCGGGTCCAAGAATCTAAGACTTGGTGAGGCTTAGATTTGTCGGGTTTTGGGGTGACCAGGTGTGGGACAACCACTTCCGGCCATTGCGGCGAAATGGTCTGTCACGGGGTACTAGTACGGTTTTATGCTCACGGCTACGTTCCAAGGTCAATGCTAATTTCTCGAGTTTGGGTTATTGTCGGATCGCAGGGGCCAGGGTTCATGCTGGTTCGCACCATTGGGTCTGGGCGTGGCTTGCATCCGTAGCTTCACATGGACATTGAACCATTCCCGACGAGCATTCAAGCTTGATTGATCATACTTTAGTGGGGGTTACTTTTCATCATGCTTCCTTTGTGCATCTTGTTACCTACTGTTGGAGAATTTAGGGTCGAAGGGTCCTCCGTCGTCAGGCTTGGGCGTTGAAGGGAATGTAGACCCCAGTTGACTTTCAACTCGATCCACACCCTTTCTCCGTCGAGGAAACGGATCGGGTTCTCGGGCTATGCCTTCGAGACCACAGTGTGCCATACTCCCAGTCTCGAGGCAGCTGTTGGAATATTATCCTTCCATAGCTGTCATTCAGACTGTGGTGTAATCTATAGAACAGATTGATCGTCATTGCACTTTCAGGGTTTAGGGGCACAGTGTTGGTTGCCGGATGTTTGCTTTCGCGTGAAGACTTGCCTTGAGTCGTGTAGGATGTTACACACCCATGCAGAGCATCTGCATGAAATCATAGTATGCCCGGACATGAGGCAAAGTGTAGGCTTTTATGAGCTTGCCTGCATTCGGGCAAGCATTCGGTCTGTGAAACCTTGTAACCCAGCCACCTGCTCAGCTAGACCGACAGCCGAGGTCCGTGGTAGTCTTCATATGGCTCTGCAAGATCAGTCCGGACATCATTTTCAATTTGTGGACCATTGTTTTGCTTGCTAGCCTGCCAAAGTTTGAGGGCTCCTCTCTCCAGTTCACCGACGGCAACATGCACATCGTCAGGCAGAGAAATCCGAAATCCTCTTTGTCACTGCATGACTTCAAACTAAGTGAAGATGCAATTCGTGTGCCTGTTCTCTAGCCGTTGCAGTTGAAAGCGTCGTCTAGCCATACTACAAATGGAATGCGGTTAGGAGCGGCTGTTTGAGACGACATGGAGGAGTTGTCATTTGGGGTGTGAGTTTCGGGGCAAGGGGGTGGATGTCCTATTACATTTCTAGATCCCCAGACATCCGATCAGAAGGTAATTGCTTGCCTTTGCGTTTTAGGGTTGGGGTAGCGGCTTCGAAAATATCCCTGTAAAGGGATGAGGAGCCCCCCATGACAATGAGGTTCGGTCATGCTCTTGGGAGTCTTGCGCTGACGGTTCAGGAATCCCCACCTTTGATTCTGTCCTGATGAGCGACGTCCCACTTGAAGAGGCTGCCCCGTGGTGCGAAATGGATGTTGATTCTGTTCGTGAAGATCCCTATGCTCCTCGTCCAGCTTGCCTTGGCCAAGACCGGACTGACCTTTCTTATGCCCCGTGCCACAGCATTAGAGGGCCATTTGTACCTCGGGGGGATTTGGAGCGCGGAGGGGGATTTCGAAGGGCCTTGTCCTCATCGGTTGGAATGCTTGACAGTCAACGACGGCCGAGATCCTTTGAGACCATGGGACAGGTTGCAGAACCGATCAGAGACGGAGAGAGTGCTGATGTCTAGTCAGTCTAGTCTAGCAGAGAAAAATAACGGTCTGCCCTGAAACCTGCTGCCAGTACGCTGAAAGGTCAAGCTCCTGCATAATTTCTGGAGCCCACATGTGAAACCCCGTCTGCGAGGTATTGTTCAGCTCTTGGAATATTGATCATGAAAGCCTTGGCCTTGTCCTATGTCTGCACAGTCCCAAGCGTGATCTTTGCCGGATTGGCATCGAAAGCTTTGGCCAATGAGGCAGAGTCTGGTCTTGCAGATTCTGTAGCGCTTTGGGCTCGTAGGCCCATGGGAGCTCGGGTGCCAAGCCAAGCTCTCAACCCGAAGAACAAGCACCACGAACAAATACAAGCCAGCTGACGAGCAAGTAAGACCGCCGTCCCCCACCTTCCCTGGCGGTCTGTCTCCCCTGCAACGTCACGTTGTGTTTTTGCTTTCCGTCTTGAAGGCTGGCCATTGCAAACTCCGCTGAACTTCTTCGACACGTGCATATATGCTGATTTTTCCCGTGCTGCTCAGTATCCGTGTTGTCCCCGCTACGACTACGGGGTTGATCCCAACCATAACGAAACCCCGGACCGTGGTCGTGACTTCCTGGTCCCCTTGGCATACTTCGGACACGATCTTTCACTTCTTGGGGATCTCCGCTGGCATTACATGCTCTTCTGTATGCATATACTGGTGCATATCTGCATAATGATGCGTACGTGCCGGGAGCAGACACACTGAAGTGACATGCACGGCATGAGCATGTGTCTATGTGCGTGTTTGCCCCATCACGTCATGTGCTATGTTCTTATGTTCAGTTGGTTTAGTTTGCACTTGTTTTTGCTGGATTGTATATGTTCATTTGTGTGTCATATGTAATATTGCAGTCATGTGAATGAAGAGTTGTGCACGACGAGAAGGCCGCGGTGGAACTACTGAGATGTTGCATATTCTTAGCATGATTATTGTTGTTATTGTTTCGAACAGCTAGAAGTGCCAAACTAGCACTTGTTCTCTGGGTGGATGTAGGTGGGGTCTACTTAAACAGAATTACTTGGGGACCAGTCTTCAAGCCCAACCCCCTGCAGAAGGGTTCCATGGCACAAAACGCCGCAACAAAACACATCGGAAAAGCTCGGGTCTTGAGCTAGAGTTACCAGACACGACACCTCTTGAGATTTCCCCGTCCCGACCCTGAAGCAGCAATCGAGCCCCTGAAGGTGGGCAAAGCCAAACTGACCGGAGACTCGCCTGCCAATAGATTGGGTCTGGGGCTGTAAATTTAGGATTATCTCTTGTTTCCTCAAGAACAAGACCATGATGTGCATGACCATGACCAAGCCTATCACGGCTCATCAGGTGTCAGGCAGGTTTCATATGTGGGAGTATATCTACTTCGTCGCACCGGCACCCGAAACACAACCTACCACGATTTAGAGGTCAGGTTAGATTACCAACAACAGACAGCAAAGCACAGTCGCCGTTACCCTGACTCAGTGCTTGTCCGACAGTCAGGAACCATCATGAAAACGACTTTCTGGGATGCTTGGCTGGCTGGCATCACCAAGATCGCTCTACATGTCGCTGTGGCAGTTTGGTATTGCCGGATTTTACATGCCGGGCTCACCGCCTTCAGATGGGAGTGCTTCTTCTACAAGTGCTCCGGTCGTCGAATTCGTGTCAAATCTGCAGTGTGAAACTCAGCAGTAACAGCACCGTACAATTCCAGAAGAGCCCGAGATGCAGGGGTCACATGGAGCACATGAAGCAGAAAAATCAGGATATTAAGAAAGTAGTTGTTGGTCTTTGGGTGCAGACTCTGCACGGTGTTGTGCTTAGAGCTGGGTGTTTCGGAGCTGCAGGCCTGCCTCGACTCTCGAGTCGCAAAGCCTGATCCAAAACCACATGTTATGTCTGAAGGCGACTTTCACCAAGCGCTGTTCAGAGGGTTTCGAGGTATGCGTGGCGAAGAGTGCCATTGAACAGAATGCAAGTTTCAGTTCAAGCCTCCCTCTGTTAGAAGCCGCGCCCATCTGCCGTTTAAGGTACAAGTTCGTCTTCCCTACCTGCCATTGTGGCGTGGAGCTTTTCGGCGTGCACGTCGCCAACTGATATGGGCACTGATCACTCTAATCGCGTGCCGGTCCTATTGATGGCAATCAGAGTTGCCGAACGGCAACGGGCACTGGTACATACAAGTCCAAACCAGGCTTGTTCGATCCAAATCAATGAGTAAAGACTACGGATATTAATATATCTTGAACTCAATCTGAGAACATACAGAACTTTGTTTTTTTTTGTTCTTTAAACGCTGCAACTCACCCTTTTTCGTTTGGCCACCCTCCGGGTTAGCATTTCCTGTAAATGTCCAGAGAATTTACGAGCCTGGGAGGGCTTGGGCTTTGCGAATGTATCTCCTAGCGCTTTTTTTCTCGGAAAATTAGGACCCTGAGAGCTGCATTACGAGATATTATCTTTGCATGCAACTTGGCGGACTTTCTCTCTCTGATATTTTTATTTTTCTTCTATCTCGTTCTCTATCTCTCTAGCTCTTTATTTCTTATTTCTCTCTTTTATTTAATTTCTTTTATTGAATATATTATTCTCTTTCTAAAAATTTTAATATGTGTTTCCATATATCTTTTCTTTCGTTCTCTTCATTTGATTGATTTTATTTCTTATTACTTTGCTTTATCTAATTTTATTTAATAAAGATTTTTGGATTCGAGGGGATCATATAGAATTCGAAGAGAGATATTTCATTTATTTTATTGCCAGCTCAGAAATTGATAAACTTTTTATCTAAATTTTTCTAGTACTCTCGAAAATATTTTAGAATAATTTTTTAGATAATAGAAAATATGAAATAAAAGGTCTGAAGAAGGAACCAAATATTAATGAGAAATTGATTTTAAGATCTGAATAAAGAAAATGAATTTAGATCTTTGGTTGGATTTGCTTCCGGGGCTGGGGTGAAAGGTCTCGATCCTACCTAGAATAATATTATCATATGCTAATTAATTAAATATACGCGACTTTAATAAATAATCTAAATAATATAATTTGAGATTTCTATATCTTTAGAAAAAAATTTTGAATATATCTATAAATCGATTTTAATCGTTATATACTTTTCAGAATACGAAATCTATTAATTAATATATCTTCAAATTTTATTTCTAATAACAATTATAAAGATATAATATATAAAAAAATTATAAAAAATCTAATTCTTAAGATAGTCTATCGCCTGCTAATTATCTCCCCCTTTCTAATATTAGATTTATATTATATGATATGCGATTGGCATATATATTTTTTTGATTATATTTATTATCACTATTTAATCGAATTATATAATTGATTATGATTGATTATGGTTTTTCCGATGATCGAAAATTTTGGAGCGCCCCTATGAATTTTTCCAATTTTTTGCCGATATTTTATAATAGATTAGATATTTTATAATTTTTATGATATTTTTATTGGGAAAACTTAGAAAGATTCTAGGAGATTTATAATTATTTTGCCGATTTTGATATTTATCAAGATAGGCTTAGGAGTGTGTAGGTCAGTTCTTAGAAAAGAAGTATTCTAGGGAAGCTTTTTGGGCAGATTCGATCTGCTCTATCTGCTGAAATAAGCCCATTATATAAATTTATCTTTTCAATATATCTAATAATCGATCTAATAAATTAGAGCTGAGAAAAATTGATCTTATTAATTTTTTTCGCTATTTATTTAATTTTAGATCTATTTTTTATGAGATATATAGAATTTATTAGCAATATCTCTTTGCTAGATTTATTTTATCAGCAATATTTTTCAAAATTTATTTTGTCAGATCTGAGGACTATCCTACTAAATAAAGACTCTCATTAAATTTATCTTATTAAAACTATTAGGATAGATAGATCCTGACCTTATCTTGATTTATTTTGAGCTCTCTTATTAGATCTGAATCTTCTTTATCTTCTTTCTTCATTTTTTCCTATCAGATCATCTTAGAAGATCTATTTTTTAAATCTATCTTTTCCGAACTATCCTTGATGCTTATAAATTTATGCTGCCCAAATTCAATTATAATATATCTTTCCGATAGATTTATCAGGTATCTTATCAGATCTATCTAGTCGATTTATTTCCGATTCATAATTATGATAGTATCATATAAAGAAAGATTTGATGAAATAGAAAATAAGCTTCAGGACGATGAAAAAATATCAGAAAGAAGGTCTTAATAAGAAAATAATGATTAGAATAAATATAAGAAAAAGAATCCCAGTAGGAGTATTAAAAATTCTGATAAATAAAATAAATGCAAAAGAGGGATCTCGAAAAAGAAATATATTCAAGAAAAAATGATCAGATAGATAGAATAAATAATCAGAAGATCTCACTAGATAAAATAAAGGCATATATTTTATCTACTAGGACCTCTTCCTTATATTTCTTTCGTCTCTTGACTTCTTTCTTCTGATTTTCTTTTATTCATCTATTGGATCCATCCTCCTGCTGGGATCCTTCTCACCTACGGATCTTTTTCTTGTTTATTTCAGATTTCGCCGATTGGGATCTTCTTTCTTATAATTATTCTACCTGGTTGCTTCTAATATTTATTTCTCCAATCTGATCTGATGATATTTTTATTTGCCTGCCGGGAGCTTCTTATCAAAAAATTTAATTATCGTATCTTATATTAATTCCAATAATGTAAGAAGAAGATCCCAGCAGATGAAGTGAGTGCAGAAGAACGGAGCAAATGGGTCAAATATATATAAAATCCTTTTCAAGAGTCCAAAAACGAGCCCGTACTGGAATCTGAAGTCCGAAGAGGAGCTTTTGGAGGCCTTAAGATAGCCCAATATGATTTTGATGTCGGTCCCAATATAGCCCTGATATTGACCAATAAGGTTCCCAGCATGATTTTTATCTTGACCCAATATGGCTGCCCAAAGCCATACTGACCTTCGTCTTGGCCCAATATGACTTTGACATGACTTTGATGTCGACCCCAACATGGCCCTGATATTGGCCAATGGGGACCCAGGCATGACCCAAGATGGCTGGCAGAAGCCATATTGACCTTCGTCTTGGTCCAATATGATCTTGATATCGGTCCCAACATAGCCCTGATATTGGCCAATGGGGACCCAGGCATGACTTTTATCTTGACCCAAGATGGCTGGCCAAAGCCATGTTGACCTTCGTCTTGGTCCAACATGACTTTAATGTCGGCCCCAATATGGCCCTGAGGCCAATGGGGACCCCAATATGGCCTTCATCTTGACCCAAGATAGCTGCTCAAAGCTATATTGACCTTCGTCTTGGGCCAATATGACTTTCATGTCGGCCTCATCATGGCTTTCATCTTGACCCAATATGGCTGCCAAAAGCCATGCTGACCCTCGTCTTGGCCCAAAATGCTGTTGATGTCGGTCCCAACATGGATCTGATATTGGCCAATGCGGACCCCAACATGGCCTTCATCTGGACCCAAGATGGCTGGCCAAAGCCATGTTGACCTTCGTCTTGACCCAACATGATTTTGATGTCGGCCCCAACATGGCCCTGATGCGTATATCTTAGCATTGGGGCACCACTTCGAGACCAAAGCAACGGCAACAAATCGTACATCTTGGCATTGGGGCACCACTTCGAAACAAAAGCAACGGCAATAAATCGTACATCTTAGCAGTGGGGCACCACTTGGAATCCAAAGCAACGGCAAAAAACGTACATCTTAGCATTGGGGCACCACTTCGAGACCAAAGCAATGTCAAAAATCGTACATCTTAGCATTGGGGCACCACTTGGAGGCCAAAGCAACGGCTACAAATCGTACGTCTTAGTATCGGGGCACCATTACGAGACCAAAACAACGACAACAAATCGTACATCTTCGAATCGTGCCAACACTTCCAGGCCCAAGAAACGGCAACAAATCGTACACCTTAGCATTGGGGAACCACGTCGACACCAAAGCGACGGTAACAAATCGTACATCTCAGCATTGGGGCAGCACTTCGACAAAGCAACGGCAACAAATCGTACACCTTAGCATTGGGGCACCACTTCGAGACCAAAGCAACGGCAACAAATCGTATATGTTAGCATTGGGGCACCACTTCGAGGCCAAAGCAACGGCAACACGTGTACATCCTAGCATTGGGGCACCACTTGGAACCCAAAGCAACGGCAACAAATCGTACATCTTAGCATTGGGGCACCACTTGGAGGCCAAAGCAACGGCAACGGATCGTACATCTTAGCATTGGGGCACCATTACGAGACCAAAACAACGACAACAAATCGTACATCTTAGAATTGGGGCACCACTTGGAGGCCAAAACAACGGCAACAAACCGTACATCTTAGCATTGGGGCACCACTTCGAGACCAAAGCAACGGCAACAAATCGGACATCCTGGCATTGGGGCACCACGTCGTGGCCAAAGCAACAGCAACCAATTTACATCATAGCATTTGGGCACCACTTGGAGACCAAAGCAACGGCAACAAATCGTACATCTTAGCATCGGGGAACCACTTCGAGTCTCAGAATGGGGGCACAACTTCGAGGCCAAAGCAACGGCAACACATCGTACATCTTAGCATTGGGGCACCATTTCGAGACCAAAGCAACGGCAACAAATCGCACATCTTAGCATTGGGGCACCACTTCGAGACCAAGCCAACGGCAACAAATCGTACATCTTAGCATTGGGGCATCGCTTCGAGACCAAAGCAAGGGCAACAAATCGTAAATCTTAGAGTTGGGGCACCATTTCGAGACCAAAGCAACGTCTACAAATCGTACATCTTAGCATTGGGGCACCGCTTCGAGAGCAAGGCAACGGCAATAAATCGTACATCTTAGCATTGGGGCACCACTTGGAATCCAAAGCAACGGCAAAAAACGTACATCTTAGCATTGGAGCACCACTTCGAGACCAAAGCAATGTCATCAAATCGTACATCTTAGCATTGGGGCACCACTTGGAGGCCAAAGCAACGGCAACAAATCGTACATCTTAGCATTGGGGCACCACTTGTAGACCAAGCCAACGGCAACAAATCGTATATCTTCGAATCGCACCACCACTTCCAGG